CTCAGCCTTGCCCGCCACTTTGATGGGTCGAAAGTTGATGAGGGCGTCCGTGAAATTGCTGAAGCGGGTGATGACAGGCCGGACGTTGGCCCGGCAAGCACCATCAAGACCCGAGACCATGTCATCGCCAGTCGAGAAGATTGTGCCGGCGTAGTCAGCAAAGGATTCAAAACCGGCGCCCAAGTCGTCAATCACATCCATGAGTTTGTTAAAGTCCTTGATGCGCTGGTTGATGTCAAAAAGACCCTTGAGAATGCTTTTGTCGTAGCCCGCAGAGAGTGCATAACCCGCGAACACGTGCAGCACGTTGACGTTGATGCCAAAAAAGCCAACCTGAAAATAGGCTTTACACTCACCGACGGCTCGCAGCAAGACATCGAGCGAGTAGCCATCTGCATAGACGTAAAGTTTCAGCTCGCCGGTCGAAGTGAAGCCCCCACCCACGTCGTCAGAGCCGATGCTATAGCCATATGACAGTTTGAGGTTAAGGTCGATGGTGAGGGCTCCGTCGCGGATGCCAGCTTCACTTTTTGTCTCTGCACTTGAACTGGAGGATGATTCACGGCGCAGGCGAGGACTGAAAGCAGGATCCGAGTCCATCTCAGCTGCGTACGCAAGGCGCTCGCTGCGCGACAGTGAGGCAAACTTGTTTTTGCAACGATCAGGCTCAATGTCGTGCAGATAGCAGTAGTATTCCTCTTCAGGAAAGATCTCGTCATTTGTGGCTTCATGGCGCTCCATGCGCATATGGTATTCATCTTGCTGCGCATTGGAGCGGCGTGTGTAGTCATTAAGGAGAGCCTCGTGGTCTGATTCGTTGGCATGCATGATGTGTGACCGTAGTGCGGCAATGCGATGTTCAAGAGAGGAGTCCTCGAGAGCAATGCGGCGCAGAGTGCTCATGCCCGCCGGGTCCTTGAGCTGGGCCAACGAGGCAATGGCGTAATGACGAATGGAGTTTGCAATGGATGGGTCGGTGTCGTTTCGAGCCGTGAGGGCATGTCGAATCAAGGCGTCATTACCTCGCTGGTGTCTGGTGTTGCCAAGTGCGGCCAACACACTCGGGCGATGGTCGTGGTGGATGGTATGGCGACGAAGGCGCGCCTCGGGATGATACTCGAGCTGTGTTTGTTCAAGCAAACCCTCGAGGCGGCCGACGTGCTGGTCGGCTTCCTCAGCAGGGAAGCGTGATAGCACGGCACCCAAGGCGAGCAGAGCGCCTTCACGAATATCTTCGTCCTGGAGGGAGAGGGGAAGCTCTTCGGGCTCGTAGCACACTTCTTGCAAAAACTGTAGGCAAGAATAACAGGGGCCAGGGGCAAAAGCCAGAGCTGCAATGGCGTGCTGTGTCTGATTGAACGGAAGCAGGTCCAGCAGCATATATTGGATGGCAAGGTTAACGCCATCCTCCAGATTGGTCACAATTTGATACATGAGCGCCGTGGCTGTGGCATCACTGTAGTCACGGATGGTATCCACAACCACGCCGCGAATGTCCTGTGGGTCGCGCATGAAGTGAACAGATAAGACTCGTAAGTTGGGCCGAATCATGCGAGAACACACACAAACAACCAGAAGCTGTCACACGGACATCAATAGGAAGCTCGCGGAGTGCCCGTCGCAGCTCTTGAATGCAGTCCATGCGCTTGGGCCGAACAGGAGAGTCTAAAGGCAAAGTGGGTTAGCAAAATCGGTGACAGAGCAGATTCCAACGGAATGCAGAATCATAAGGCGATCGTCGGTCTACACACCGCTTTCGGCAGATTGCTCCAAGCACACAAGGCTGGCGTGCAAAAGCGGCGACTCTTCTTCTTCGTGTGCCGGTAGCTAGTCGCATCAAAAAAAAAAGATAAGCTCAGAATTTGATTGGATGGGCACCACAAGCCTTCTAGGAGAGGCCGTAAAAGCATTTGTGGAACGACAACGTTCAGGTGAAGAGAGGTCTGTACCTGCAGGGCGAGAAAGTCGCGCAGAGAGCTGGTGTCCAAGCCAGGCGGAACCATGACATGGCTTGCAGGCGAGGTAGATGTCAATGCCATGTTGAACTCCCCCTACAGGCGTTCGAAATGTTGTGAGGTCTGGGTACAGGCAATCGTGCGACAGCCGAGAAAAGCTCACCTCTGAGCTGTGCGAAGACGTGTCATCACTGGCGTAGCCATTGTGCACAATGTGCTCGTGATCGTCCGTCGCAAATGCACCAAAGAGGTTTGCTAAGAAACGTGTCATTGAGGCGAGCAACGATGAGATGTGGTTACATTAAAAAGCTGGAGGTGAAGGCACGACAGACCCACCCTTGTCGTTGGTCAAAGTTGACTTGGCATCATAGCCATGAGGACCGGCACTAAAGCGCTGCTGCTCAAACAAGTCCTCGGGTTGGCCTTCGGCGCGAGTGGCGTGTGCGGCCGTGCCTAAAACGAGGGGCCGGCGATGCAAACAAGTAGAGAGAGCGAATGAAAGAGAGAGCGAGAGGAGGGGAAGGGGGAGGGGGGCGGGGGGGGGGGAGAGACAGCGACAGACAGAGACAGAGGCAGAGACAGAGACGGAGACCGAGACCGAGACCGAGACCGAGACAGAGACAGATATACAGCCAAAAAGTACCTTGTTGCTCCATGCCCTTGAATAAATAATTATCATTGCCATGTACTCGAAGCAGTCGGCCATCGGCATGAACAACGTGGGTCTAAAATGTGGCGCGAGTCTCCGTCAGATGAACGCATGACATTTGGCAACGCGAGGGCTCTTCACCTTCACCAACCTTGACCGAGGTCGCCATTTGAGCATGGGGGATGTGATTTTCGAGGCGGCACTCGTGGTGATATCCCTCGTCATTAACCGACGTACGGTAGTTGGCATAGGCATCTGTGCGTATTCAAAGCGAAAGTTTGAAAATGAGGACGTGTGGTCAGCCTGGCTGACGCGGACTGTCTTACCGTGATGATCTTCAAAGGCAGTATAGTTGTGCTGGTTCATGCCATCCCCTCGATGGAGTGTGCCGGCCAGGGTGGCAATGATGTTCCCAGGCAGAGTGCTGTGGATAGCCTGGTCCCGAGGTTCATAATAGACCCGAGCAACGCGGCCGTCTTCGCACTGGGCGAACGCCAACCTAATGAAAAGAGCAGGGTTAGCTTCATCATCCATCCGACGGTCGGTCAAGGCGGGGGAGGGGAGAGAAAGAGAGAAAAGAGAGAGAGAGAGAGAGAGAGAGAGAGAGAGAGAGAGAGAGAGAGAGAGCGCGCGTGGAACCAAGCAACAGACCAGGTTTCTAGGGACTCTGGGCGAAGCATCTGGTCTTCTTGAGCTGATGCACATGAGCAGGAAGCGGGTCAGTTGGCTTGCTGCTCAAACACAATACCATGCTTCAGGAAGGCGCTCGGGGCGTACCATGGCTGGCAACATGCACTTGGGTGACATTGATGGCCAGGACGCTGGGGTGAGAAGTTGCGCAGTCCAGGTTGTCCAAGTCAAGTTGGGCTTGAGCCTTGGAGTCTAGTGTCGTCAGCTCAAACTATATATCCGGATATGAATCAATGATTAAAAAGAAAAGGTGTAGGCAACAGTGACAGAACACAGGACGTGGAAGGCGGATTGAAGCGGAACTGACTTCATAGGTCAGAGATTGGTAGCCTGAAAAGTAGTCGGTGGAGCGCTGGGATGAATCGGCCCACCACCTTGCAGTCGAGGCACCGCTAAAGAGAATCAAGCCGAGGTTCCGCCAGAACCAGCCAAGAAAGCCATGAAAACTTCCGGCCGAAAGTCACGTGTCGCTTCAACCAGTGCATAATGAACGAACCGAAAGAAGTAGCGCGTATTCGGACTCCATGTCAGCTTGGCTGTGGTGGTGCTGGTGATGGCCAGCACAAGGGCCACCGCCAACGCCAGCGGCGTCATGGTGGAGCACGTTTACGCCAAGGCAATGCCTCGGGTCGTGATAAAGCTGTAGCTGGCGGCAGGCGGCCTCTCTCGCAGCGCAGACATGTGATGCAACAAAGCCAACAGCCCAGTCGAAAGTGGTCCAGAGGGAGACGCCATACATTGAAAAAGAAGCGTGAGCAACCAGAAAAAAAAAAAAAAACAGAGAAGCAGGAACGCCGCCAAACGACGTCGAGGGGCGGCGGTCAGGTCGGTCGTGAGACGACTTGTGAGCTTTCGAAAAAAAAAAAAAAAATAAAAGACGTCAAAGGTCGTGTCGTGAGGAGAGAGAAGATAACAGAAAGGGAAGAACAAAAGACGAGTTACAAAAACCGCACGAATCGACGCCTTATGAAACACAAGTGTCCACAAACTGATCAGCCTTGAACTGACAAAAGCATACCAGAATAATATCTTTGTCGGGGTAGCGAAACTCCCCGGCCAAGTTTTGTGGGTCCAAAGGCATCAAAGTTCAAAAGCAAGGTGTGAATAAATTTTCGAAGGAGCTTGCCATCGGCCATTAGGTTTTTGTCATGACTCTCGCGATTTCGGTCCCAACCGCTCGGAACCGCCCATCACATTCTCGAGTCATGTGATGGGCAGGCAAAGTTGTTCGTCACGCCACATCTGCCGAACCACCCCCCAAGACATCGTCCGCCCCTGCCTTGACATGTAAAGCTCGATCACCCTTTGGCTAGGTTGTCGCCTTCCCACCTCTCCCGCGCGTATTGCCACAAGCAACTTGAACGGAAAGGGCACGTGTATGATATGTCATGATGTTCGCAGCCCATTGATTTCACCCTAAAAAGGAGAGACAAAACAACCATTGCTTTTGTTGGCTCACAAGCGTTCGCCACGCCCCTTTCCCATTTTGTGGACTTGTGCCTTGAGGTCAGAGGGAATGTGCACTTTTTTCTTCAAAGCCTTTTTGCTGCGCACTGCACGGCATCACCTGATACCTTGAACATTGGCCACCCGCCGGTGGTGGTGCGCCTCTTTTTGAACCGCATGTGTCGTGCTTGTAGTGCTTGAAGCCGTGCGCGGTCTGGTGGTCGCGTCGTGGCGTTGCGGGGCCCCACCTCCGGAGCAGCATGGCCATTGTGCGTCCCGGTGGCCAATGGCTGCTGCCACTCTTGGTCGCCGTGCTATGTGCGTTGTCTCAAACCTTCGCGTGGTCCACGCAGCCCAAGCTTTCGCCGAATGGCAACGCCGCTCACGACCCGAAGATATTAAATCAGAATGACGATTCGAACGCAAACCAAAGCCAACACAGGTTCCGCGTGGCTCGCCAACAGCTGAACGAGTTAATGCAGCCTCTTTCCTTGCAAACCTTTTTTCATGATTATTTTCAGAAGGCCCACGTCGTGGCTCATGCCACAGGGCCGGTCAACCCAGACTTCATCGTGGCTGACCCCAATGCTTCATGGGCTGAGACGGCCGAAGCTGTTCTCAACCCTCTATTGAATCGTTCCGACGATGAGCTCAGTCTGCTATTCAAGATGAGCGCTATTCAACTCCGTGACGCCAACGCTTCTGCCGTCTCTTCTCATAATTTGACAACGGTAGACCTTAAACATCTTCTTGTTGACCAAGGCTATAGCATCGTTTATCGCAATGAGCACAATCGCGAAGAAGACCTGTACCAACGAAACCTACTTGCCAATAGCGTGACGTCTCTTGTTCTTCTTCAGCCGACTCTTCATTATTATCTTAGTGGACCCCACGCCAAGGCTTTGCCTGCGCACACCGACCGTAGCGAGTAAGATGTTGTGCGGAACCGGGTTGCTCATGCCAAACTTGGTCTCCTCGCTAATTCACGCTTTGTTGGCATGTCGTCTTTTTTATTTCTTTTTTTTTTTGTTCGATCAGCATCTTTGTCTTTCAACTTGCAGGGACGAAGCACTGGACAATTTGCTCGGTTCCTCTTCCTGATGCCTCATGGACGCCAGCTGAATGGGCTCAACAGCAAGAAGTGAATGCCAAACAGTCGATGGGTACGTTGGGCGAGCATCGAGGCACAAGGGATACAGCCTTGCCAATAACAAATCTCTGCGGGCCGGACGTAGGTTGCCGCAACCCAAAAGAAGCAGAGTTGAATGGATTGGAATGTGAGCACCACGTTCTTCGCGCTGGAGACTGGCTGTACATGCCAAAAGGTATGAAAGGCTTGCCTTCTTTGCTGTCAACTCTATCTCTGTACTGCTTCTAATGCAGATGATTGCCCGAGAAGGTACGGTTCATTTCGCGCAGACCATGGATGACTTTTCCCTGCATGCCACTGTGGGCTTCAGTCCTTCCTCTTCCTGGATCAACTTTCTTGAGGCCATATGTCTGGAGGGCCCGCCTGTGGCCGTTTCCTGCACTGAATTTCGAGCCGTACTTACGGCACTGCACACAAGCCGCCACTTCCTCTGGCTCTCGATGTTAGCCACCGTCACGTCAAGCACTGCACCTGCCAGCGCCCAAGCTGTTTCACCCGACGAAGTGATTTTGGGACTTCAAACTGCCACTCTGGCTCGTTTTGCATCACTGCAGTCCTTGCATCTGCCCCTTGATGTGTTGAATCGGACGTTCTTTTACCAGGCTAAAGAAGACTGGCTCAAGTCCATCCGCACACTCTCCCGCTCGCTGAATCAGATATTTCCCCAAGCTTTCTCCACGTTCCACAAGAAGGACGTTCAGGAAACAGAGGATCACGCTCCGCTCGAAGTGCATCGTCACAGACGAGATGACGTGTGTTTATCTGATCTTAGTTGCCAGACATGTGAGCCTGACACCTGTCACACTAAGGACTGTGAAGAAGGTAAGGTAGTACATTGCTACCAACGTCTTTCGTCACTGTCATCTCATCTATCTCTTTTCTGCCTAGGCTGTGACGACGGTTGCTATTACGACTGGAACGAATTTGCTATCATTTGCACTACGTCTTGTGATGACTTTTGCACTGTCAGTATCAGCTTTGGTTCTATCTTTGATAAAAAAACATCGTAATCATTGAACAAACATGTTGTTTGCTACTGCAGTGTGTGTGTTACGAAGGCTGTTATGCCTACCCTGGGAACTATAACCCAACACTCCTGACTTGTGAACCATGTCGGCGCGGTAAAGTACAACCCAATCAGGCGCACGTCGATCATTGCACTCCCTGCGAAGTCGGTAAGCTCCTCCTTCCTTTTACTGATTCCCGTCTCTTTTTTTTTTTTTTTTTTTTTTTAAAAAAAAACAAAAAACTTGACACGCGGCGCAATGAACCGTCTTTTGCTTTTTTTTTGTAGGAAAATATGCGGACGTAGAGGGGCTCGCTTCGTAAGCTGGGTCCCTTGACACTTGGCTCGTCTGCACAATAGCGTGCCGTTTTCTCATGACATCCCTGATATTCCCAGCTGCAAGGATTGTGAACCTGGAAAGTATGCTGACTGGACAGGGAGCGAAACCTGCAAGGCACGTATGCCCATGGCAATCATGTGCCAACCCGTACTTTTGGCTGGGGTTTGCAGCGTTGTTTTGTCTCTCATTCATCGAGTTGGGATGCTCAAGCTCAAACTCAACAATCTGTAATTATGTAGAACTGCCCCGGCGGCCAATACAGCATAGGTGGCACCCAATTTTGCTTTGCATGTCCTGCTGGGACTTACTCGACAGGAAGCGCAGCAGTTTGCACCGATTGCCCCCCAGGCACAACCAATCCTGCAACCGGGAAACATGAGTGGTGAGTGCGATTATTTTGTGGCAAAAAGCGTGATCGGTTCCTTGTAATGGCGCACAGTACTTGCCTTGTCTCACGCCAACTTTCCATGCCTCAGCTCCACGTGTAAACCCAATCACCTCATGCCGTTTCAGGGATTCCCTCATAGTTCTTGCTGGAAGAGGTAACCGTTTGGGTCTTTTCTGCATCGTCTGTGTTTTACTGATCCTGGTGTCTCACGCTCGTTTCGTATGGTACCATTGTGGAACGCAGCTATGGTATTCCCGAAAGCGGGTGGTGCACATTTTCGGGCCAGCTTTGCAACTGCCAGGCATCACATCTCAATCAAGGGTCCAGGGTGATTGAGTTTGACGACGTGGATGGTGGTCGTTGCAACCGCATCATAACCGACCCGAAGGTCTATGGCATCACTCTCAGTATGTTCGGCAAATCCCATTATTCTGTCTCCCACGTGGCCTGCAAGGATTTCGAGTGTACCAATCAAGACGTACAGCGTCATGATGCAGCCGAGGAATACTTGACTCCAGCTTACAGCAAAATCTCCACGGTACGAGTCACGATCCCATCGCAAAAGCCTTTCGTTGAGTTTGAATTTCTCCACTGATGAACATGAATGTGATGTCGTTTTGGCCTCGTAGACTGAGTCCGTTGCGATTGAGTACAGCTATCAGATTTCCAACAATGCCTTCGTGTTGCAACACACCGTTTCTAATGCCAACCGTAATGCAGAGTGGCCATATCAGGGCCACGGCGGCCTGATCTGGCCATCGTCACGCCTTCGGTTCTCCAGCACTGACGTCCCCAATCTGGACTTGTCAACGTCAGGCGAAACTTGCAACAAGGGAGAAAACAGCCAGTGGGAAGTGATGACTTGCACGGCAACTACAGACATCTTGGTGCAACACGGTCACAAGTTCCGACTCTCATTTTTTGCCAGCAACCAGGGTCGATGGGATTACATCAAGCCGTCTTCAATCTACAATAGGGTTTGGAGTGCGCGAAATGCAGAGGCAGAAACATATCCAGTTGACTCGGTCTATCTTCCAGGCAAGACCACACACATGACATACACGGCTGAGCTGGACTTTGTTTCGCCTTGGCATTGTAGTGTTGGACCGACGCTAGGGCAGCGAAGCGGAGCAGCTCCATTCGCACAGGAACTCAGCATCGTGGATGACGAAGGTTGCAGCGATTGGAAAAGTGCTGATAGTATTCTTCACTTTCCTGCTGGGAGGCGCTTCATCAACAACGTGGCAGATCTGTGTGTGTGGACAACCTCTGGTTGGCGCTCATCGGGACACGTCATCTCGGACTTGGAACTCACCGCCTTCTCCTCTTCCAAAGTGGGAAATGCGATGACGGCTCGTCGGGGGGCTGATGACTCCAAAGCCTTGGCAATATTGGGCGTGCAAGCTGATTCAGCCGACAATTTCCAGTTGAGCTTTAGCCACAGCGTTATGTCACAAGTATTGACCGGTGCCGCTATTTTAGCCGTCATTGTTGAGCTTTCAGTGATGGATGTAGGTCAAACCAATGTGATGATCGCTCGACGTGCACCAGTGTACTTTGACCCTGACGTGCCCATGGTGCAGCTGGCCTGCACAATCAATTGTGTCAGCGTACCCAGTGCTCTGATGTCTGACAGCAGCGCAGAGCAAAATCAGCATCACTTTTATACCAGCCTGTCGGTCACCAAAATTCGTGCCTACATTGACCGCACCATCTTCAGTTGCCCCAAGGTGGCTAGTCTAGAGATGGAGTTGGAAATTCATCCGGCGTTTACGGATACGCCTTCTTGGAGCGGTAGCGCGTATGACAGCGATCATGACGCCCTCATGTTTGAAACTTGGCAAGGTATCGACCGTTTCAAGGGTCAGATTGTGCGTTTGCGTCGATGGGACGGCGCTGATGAGACAGCTGAATCCGAATGGAAAGACCTAGGTCAGAATCCAGACTATGAGTTTTCTGTGGAACTCGTATCTGGGTACGAGTACTTAGTGGCTTTCGAAGCTTGGACGCCAATTGCTGTGGAGCATGACATGGTGCCAGGCACGGCTAAGCGTGCAAATCAGGTCGGCACCACCGACAAACGTCTTCGTGTGGATCACACAGCGCCTGTCGGTGACACGCCCGACGTTGTGTTGGAAGTGGGTGGCGTCATCACGGTGCTCGAGGAATTTTTGGCTGCCAACTCAGACGTCGATGGCGCTCTCAAGGGCCTGCCCGCCGTCCAGGCGCGGGGAACCACGCCCTTGTTCTTCATCATTGACCACGACCTGCAACATGTCGAGCTTACCTTCAGCTTGTTGGACGAGGAGAGTGGCCTTCGGGCCATTGACGTGCGCACATATCAACTTGACCTACACTCCACTGCTGCGCAACTGATACACGAGCGTGCCGTTGGCATTACGCGCTTTGTACGCAACGCCGATACGTCTGCATCCTGCGACGCGAGTAGTGCTTTTTCCTGGTATGCGTCGACGCGAGATCGCGACGTCACTCATGCAGCCCACGGAAGTTCAGGCTGCCGATGCACAGCGTACGATCCCGCGGGCAACTTCGACCACTGCTACCGTCAGCACATGTACCTCGATGGCAACAACCATTACTCAAGCGACTACACGCCCGTGCCAGCGGCTCAGCTCTACTTGATCCAGGTGGAGAGCGAGAATCATGCAGGCATCACCACGACGCTCGAAGCGATGCTTCGCGTCGATTCAACCCCACCCGATGTAACGCACGCACACGTGCAAGATAGTGCTTCCCTTGGGCAGCTCGACATTGATTTCATGCAAGTGGGCACGGGCAACCAGGTGACCCTTCACGCAAGCTTTACCGGGTTTGTTGACTTAGAAAGTGAAGTGCGAAACTATTTGATTGCTTTTACCGACAAGTGCCTCACTCTTGAGGACTATTGCGGCAAGAATAATATTGATTCTGCTCATGGAAACGCCTGTTACCTGTCACCTGTGGACGAGGCGCAGTGGCTTGCCGCAGCGCCTGTCCGTGCGCTCTTCAAAGCCAACGTGCACAGCCAGACAGTCACAGTGGATAGCAATACGAAGCGAATCTACGCAAATGTTATGGCTCAGAACAACGCCCTGTTGTACTCGGCCATCCAATGCTCGGACGGCGTAGGCTTTGACCGTACCCCTCCAACCGCCTCCAATCTGGCCATCACGGGAGCGGCCATTCGCCCAGGCATCGTGACCTCTCACGACGGCTCTGCTCAGTATTACATATCCAAGTGGGGTGTGCTACAGCCTTTGCCGCAAGCATGTGGTGGCAACTTTCCAGCGCTTTCTCCCAACTTTGCTACGGTCATGGCTGGGAGTGACGACTTTTTCACAGGCACCGACGGTCGTCTCGATGTACCTCGGGGCTTTGCCACGGGCCGAAACGCCACCGCCTTGCCTGCTGAAGCTCTGGTCTGCTCGCAACTGACACCCGCAGTCTTGGTTTACAACGGCTCTTTGGAACATTTGGTGGCCTCGTGGAACGCAGAAGATGCCGACAGTGGTATTTGGCGCAGCACCATCTCTGTCTTGAGCGAGGACGGGAGCACCGAAGCCAGCGTGGCAACCCGCAACAACTACTTGGAAACCTCTGCGCTAGCCTTGGAGGGCCTAGACGAGGTTACGTTTCAGATTGAGGTCGCCAATCAGGTGGACTTGAACACGGTCATCGACGTGGGACCCTTTGTTATGGACCACACCAAGCCCGTGCACAGAGCCAACCCGCTCACCACAGTAACAGACGATAATGAGATTGTCATCACAAACTTTAACCAACTCTTCGTGGATGCTGAAACCAAGCTGTGCCGTTTTGATATTGTCATTGGTAAGATTTTTCTGCGGGATTGTTGGTCTTACCGCTAAGTCTTGTTGATGCCGGCCCTTCTGTACTCGACTCGACTGCAAAGTATGCTCGATACCGGCCAGCTCAACACGGGAGCACACTTGGTCTCACGCTTGTTCTGTGTCTAGAATACGATGGTGGCTCAGCGGAGAGGTCAATAGCTACAATGGATCCCGATGCGTGCTTGGGTGAGATGCCGGCAACGTACACGATCTCACCGCCACGCTTGACGAATGCCATCAATGTTGTCTATACGCTACGTATAACGGCCTTCAACGCGGTTGGCATGCGCAATCAAGCCTCAGTGTCAGTGGAGCTTGTCTACGCCCCACCCACGCCCTCCCTAATCTGGGACGTGCTAGAGGTGACCGACAAGGCCGACATCGACTACATCCCGGATACAGTACATTTGGGTGCCTCGTGGCCGAGCGTGGCGGGCGCCAGTCTGCTGCAGGTGTCGCTAATTGCTTCTCCGGCAGGCGGGCATGGTTCTGATCAAACGTCCGTTGGGCACGGCACACAAACAGTGGTTGACTGGGTCGCGCTGCCTGGATCAAGCACGGGGTACGTTTTTTCTTCCTTCACACTTGTCGCCGGTCGTCACTATCGCACGGTCTTGCGCGCATCCAACGCGGCTGGTTCGAAGGAAATCAAGACCAACGGCGCCTTTGCTACCCCAGTCAATACCGAGCCGAGCATCGATTTCCACCTCGGCCGTACTTGCAGCCAAACGGCCCCTAGTTTCGAATGTGTATCCGAAGAGTGTGTCACCACCTTCGCTCTTGTATCAGATTCCAATTCTTTCGGTGATCAACTGTTTATCTTTCATCACACGGTTCCTGTTGAACCCAGTCGATACTACACCTTGAGCGTCAAGGCAACTAGCCAAGTGTCAGCCAACGACCAGCTACAAGTGTCTGTGTATGCAGCTCGCGCGGGTGCGCTGCCTGACGCTTTGCTGGGTGCTGCCGGCGTGAGTACTACAACCAGTGCTGAGATGGAGTTTCAGACCCTGAGCACCCATTTACTCATTTCCATTCGAAGCACGTCTGCACACATTCTGGAACTTCTAGCTCCTGTGCAGCTCAAGGCCTGCCGCGCCTTGGGTTACACTGGGGCCAGTGCACATGACGTTTGGAGCGCGCCTGAAGTGACAACGGCCAGCATACGTACCCTGGTTGACGAGGTGCGCTGGATGCCTGTGCTGACGAGCGGGCTTGGTGGAAACGATGCCCCTGATCAGGCTCTTGTTGAGCAAGCGGGACTGACCGAGTGGCAGCTTGGTGACCATGTGGCCGTGGCTGAATCAATGGCGGGGAATGAGGTTCGCGTGGCAGCCCAGGCCTGTTTTCCCAAACCCGGAGGCTGTATGCAGTCCGTTCTAAGTGAGCCGTTGGTTTTGCCTGCTGAGCCCGAAGATGTCGTGACTACAGCCACGTGCAACATCGCGACTACGGATGAACGTGCGGACGATTATCTTTACTCTCTTGTGTGGGAGCGCTTTGACACAGTCGACGGTGAGTTTCGGGATTTGGTGAAATGCGAAAGTGAGGAGATTCCGGGAATCCGGCAATGATTTGACCAGAACTTGACCTGTGTGCTTTGTTTTCTGCTGTAGTCAATTCCGAGGCTATCAACGTGTATGAAACGAGCCTTGTCGATGACCAAGGGTGAGGAAAGCACTTACTAATTTCCCTCCCCCCCTTTTTTTAAATTGCCAGCCCAGCGGCGATGCAAGCTTACGACCCCTCGCCACCATGACCTGCACGCACTTACACGTAGGCACTTGGCTGTGGCGGGGACCTGGACCTGGCCAACAAGTCAGACGCGGCGTCCTTATCTGGAGATGAACACCACACACATGAAGACCACCGTTCCTCTCAATGCCGTCAACTTTATGCATCTTCTGCACGAAGCCACCAGTCTGCAAGCTGCTATTCGCCTCTGGACGCCCGATGGTCTTGCCAAAGAAACCATGGTCACCTGCAGCGTGCCTGAGGACCCTATCACGCCAGTCGTTGCGGTGCGTCATTGGACTGGTGAATGCTGGTCATCTGGAATTTAATGTCCTGGATCTCATCGAGTGCTTGCTCTTGGCCTGACAGGTTCCTTGGAGCGATGTCTCTCAAAATCCTGCGTTGCAGAAACTGCCCGTCAAACGCCACCACACCACCACCGATCTTCATCACTTTGCCGCCTTTTGGCCTCGCCGGTGGCAAGCGTTTGAACGTCTGGGCTTGGAGAACATTGTGTATGGCTGGGACCTATCCAGTGTATCTAGCGATACCGGTACTACCACGATGCTTAGCCAAGACAATACAACGGCTCAATACGCTATGCTTCAAGGCTTGCACTTGAGCGACGGCATGCTACTCCGCTTTTGCGTGTCCATCATCGAGGCAACACCTCAATCTTTGGGATGGCGGTATTGCGCGCATGATGTGAGCGTGGATCTATCACCGCCACACATCAGCAGCCTAAAGCTGTCTCATCCCCACGCCAGCAGTGAGGTGGGCCACGGCACGGAGGCTCTGCAGCTCAATTGGCATGTCAACGCCTCTGATGTCGCTGACCTCAGCATTTTGGTTGGCTATCAAGCGGGCCGTGGCGACATTGCTGCGGTATACGACGTGAAGCCAGCAAGCTCCGCTTTTCTCTTTCAAGACCTAAGTCTTCAAAGTGGTCGACCCATTTATGCCACGCTGCAGGCCATTGACTTTGCGGGCAACATGGCTTCCCTCACCAGCTCCCCAATCATTGTGGACACAACACCGCCATATTTTGTGGGGACCTTGGAGGGCGAGATGGATCCAATGCGTGACGGAATAGGGGAGCTTGGCTACCTGCTTCGGATCGACTTTGATTTGTTTGAGGACGATGAGAGCTTGGTGGTGAAGCACACCTTGGCTCTGGGCAGCAGTGCGGGCACATCAGATATCCGAGGAGCGAGCACAGCCACAGCCAGTCCTTGGGACTTACGAGTGCCTTTGCACCACCATGGCGCTGATATCTTTGCGACTCTGTGCGCAACCAACGAAGCTGGTCTCTCCGCATGCGTATCGGAGCTCTTGCTGACGCTGGATGCGACGCCACCGACAGTGGACACATCCAAACTGTCAGCAACGGCCAGTTGCGTGGAAGGTCGTCACCACCGGGTGCGTCTCGATTTGGACTGGACCGGGGCTTTTGAGGAACCAGACTCTGAAATTTTGGAATTCCAAGTGTTAGCAGGAGACAAACCGGGGGATGCCAGCATTTTTCATGACATGGTAACGCGCAAAGCCATTAGCTTCGAGGTTGCCCACGGTTTGGTGGATGGCGAGCACCTGCAAGTGACCGTGTACGCTACCAACACCGACCAGCAGCTTAGCTCTCCGCTAACCTCTTCACTGCTCGTGGATTGTTCGGCACCCTTGTCGGGTGCGGTCGAAGTCTACAACGCCGAGGGCCTGCCCTACCATTCAAGCCGCAGCAGCTTCCGTGCCAGCCTGGTGGGATTTGTTGACCCTCATAGTGGGATTGCACAGGTGCAGTATTGTCTGTCGACAGCGGTCAATTCGTGCGACGTTTTGAACTGGACGATGGCAGTCCACCACACCGAAATTCACCACCGATTTGGAAGCAACGTTTTGCAGTCTGGGGCTCGCTACTTTGTCCGCGTGCGTGTGACCAATGGGATGGGCCAAACAACCGAGGGCATCAGCGCCAGCTTTGGTGTTGACACGACGGCACCCACCGTCAGTGGCTTTGCTTGGCAGCATCCGATTTCGCGGACTCCCGTGTCGGCACAGTACTTGCGCTCTGTGTTGCTGGCCGATTGGACCTCGACAGATGAGGGTGGCGCCGGCGTGCACTACCATGAAGTGGAGGTGGCCGTTCATCACGATGAGGCGGGTGGTGAGCTTGCTGTTGTGAGCGAGTTGGAGTACGATGCCAGTCTGAGTGTGCTCAACCTCACGCTGCAACATGGTGAGGTGTACTTTCCTCGCATCTCAAGCTGCGACGGCGCAGGCAACTGTCAAATCCAGGATCTGGTTCCCTTGGCCATGGACGTAACCCCGCCGTTAGCCATCAGGCTTCATCACAATGGTGTCTGGAATGTCGTTGCCGGTGGCACATTGCGGTACACCGTAAAAGTATCGGCTCCGATCGACGAGGAGGGCACAGAAATTACGCACTTCTACGTCAAAGTGGGCGATCAGGCGCCCATTACCTTTACAACCTATAGCCCAAGCGGGTACGCCAGCTTGCCAGATATGATCCTTGGGGTCACAATCTTTGGGATAGGACATTGTTGGTTGAGCCTCAACATCAATAGTGACTCAAGCTGTGCTCATCTGAAATTTGTTTTCATCTAGGTTTGTTGTGGATGTGCCTCAGACGATGGAAGAAGTATCGCTTCTTTCTTTCACCTCGGTAAGCCCCTTTCTTGAGACTGAGAGTTGAAGAAGAAGCTTGGTGCTCATGTGACTTGTTGCACTATCAGGAAAACGCGGTTGGGCTGCGGCATACGCAAACCTTTTTGATAGAACGACACGAGGGTGGCGTGCTGGCCCCACGCTACGGCTGCTGGCGCTGGCAGCATTGCCAAAGCCGCGGTGTTGGTGTGGGAACATGTGATTGCCCAGAGGACCTTGAGAGCGTAGCATTTGACACTAATTTTGACGCAGGCGCGCTATCTCTTGTCGTTGAGGACGGCCTGATTCCCGGCGAAGATTGGGATGAACAACCTTACACGTTCACCTTGGGTGCGCACTGGACAGCAACTTCAACGCCGTTGCGATATGAAGTCACATTTACCTGTGGAGGGCAGGAAAAAGCTTGGATTGATGCTGGTCACTTTACAGAGTACGTGCACACGCTGGAGCCGGATGCCGAAGCGTATGCAAATGGGATCGAGTGTTTCGCCTACGTACGTGCATGGCGCACCTACAACCAGTTTGTAGTGGCGCGCAGCGATGGCGTCACCATCCGCCACGAGTGGCTGCGGGTCAATCAGCAAGCCGCACTGCTGGATGGCTACAAGCTACCCGTGCCCGGCTTTGGTACCGATGACAAGTTGTTCCCCAAGCCCTTTCATGACATTGGTACGCTGAAAGCCGAGTTTCTGCTTGTCTGGGTGGCACATGTGCACCCATTTCGAACATCTCATGTTGTGATGTTTATCACAGACGGCCAGCAAAGCACCAGCGAATTGGCCACGACGTTTGCGTGGTCAGAGCAAGGCTCTTCCGGCGTGGTAAGTCATGGGTGTTTTTGAAATCGCTCCACGAGCCGTGAGTCAGCTAACGCCTTTTGTGGCTGTATACATAACAGGTGACTGGCTCAGTCGTGGCATTGAGCGATCTTGACAACGTTGCTACCTATGAGGTTGGGTTTGGTACAACACCCGGGGAGCAGGATGTGTTGGCTTGGACTCTGGCTTCTGCTTCGACGGGCGCCCTGCGCAGCTCGGGGCTGAGCCTGGTTCATGGACAGCGGTATGTCCTGGTTGAATGTGAGCAATGCAGTGAAACTGCACGATAAATCTCACGTCGGCATGCTGCCCATGGTTTATAGGTACTACAGTGCGGTGCGCGTTGAAACCAAGTTTCGTCACACGCTCGAGGTACGTTGTGGACTCAGAAGATGCGCTGCAGTTTGTGTGCACTAGCGTCTCACCACGACGACCATTTGTTGGTGACGGGTTTTTGGATCTCAGGTCGTGAGTGATGGCGTGATGGTGGACGACACTCCGCCATTGGTCGGAGTGGTGTACTTTGGTCCGCGCGGAGGCTATCTTCCGGCGACAAATGTGAAGGAGAATGTGAGCATTCGCTTCGAGGGCTTTGTGGACCCTGAAAGTGCTCTGGCCGAGTATGTTGTGGCCTTGGCTCGCGTGAACAACGGTGTCGTAGATGAAGCAAGCGCCGATTTTTCATCGACAGGTCTCTATCCCAATGCGACGCTCTCCCTGGCCGACGCTGTGCCGGGCGCCTCCTACGTTGCCCTGGTCAAGGCAATCAACAGCGCCGGCCTGACATCAGCAGCAGCTGTCTCGGAGCCCCTCGTGCTTGACGAGGAAGGACCCCAATTTTTGAGCGTGTTGCGCGTGCCTCTGAGCGACAGTCAAAATAGCGCCTTGGGCAGCCAATTGACGGTGACTGGCACGGCTACGCAAGGCAATGCCGTTCACGAGTTTCCCGTCGACTCACCCGACATTCTTGGAACCTCCCTAAGTGGCACACGCATGACTTTGACGCCTGATGCCCCGGTGGTGCTGACCATGGCCCTGACGTTGGGGCAGCAGACATGGCCAACACGCGTTGCCATCAGCTTTGACATTGTCTGCGCAGGGGGGGCGCCACGCACACTCCTGCGCATTTTCGGCTCTGTTTCCAACGCAGTGAATGGTGATGTGCATCACGTTGCATCCTGTGAAGGCTTTCGGCAGCAAATTGAACGCTGGGTTGAAGTTGAAGCTGTGGGCCAGGACATTACTGTAGAGCTTGAGGTCACGTTGCTCCACGCAGACACGAATGCCACGCTCTTGGTGGGCAGCACGCGTGTCCATGAGGTGGCGGAGCTCAACTCTGATGCACGGACACTACCTAGCGTCACTGTGCAAGACCGAACATTTGCCGTTTTGCACGGCAGCGGTGCCGATTCTGCGGGAACAACGTGTCAATCTGCGCCAATGACCGTGCCCACAGGCTGGCGCGTGGCCACAGGTTATGATCCAACCGTTCGCGACGCTGCACGTCAATACAATTGGGGCACAGCATATCTTGCGACGAGTTCCGGTGTGGCGTACGCCACGGCACAGGCATCTGACCTTGCTCCCGTAGCGAGCAACGTCCACGTCACAAATGGTGGTGCACATGTCGTGGCTGCCGACTGCGCAAGTCATGGCATGGGTATTTTACTGGAGGCTGGCTCGGGTGCAGTCCAGGTGGATCAGCCCTACCACCGAGGTGCTGACGAACTGCAGGCGCACTGGGTTATAGCTGATGCCGCCAGTGGCATCCGACGTGTGTTGGCAGGCGCTGGTAGCCAGCCTGAGGTACCCGTGTACCTCCCACTGCGACCGGCCGATAGCATTGACTCGTTGAACTTGCACATGAACGAGCGCGCACCGGAGCACGGTCACCAGATTGCCGTAATCGTAGAGGCTCAGGATTGGGCTGGACTGCGGGTCCGCGCCACCAACGACAAGGTGGTGGCCATTGTTGACGAGTCAGACCCAGAGGTGACAGCAGTGCAAATTGCGCCCACCACAGAAAGTGGCATTGTGGCTGGAGCCTCTTACGTCAACGTTACCTACCATGCGACAGACCCGCAATCAGGCATCCTCCGTTGCCACGTCTCGGTGCTGGCTCCCGACAACAACAACCAGTTGCACGGTGAAACAGTCGTGCACTTTGAGCAATCGAGTGTATTAGTGCCCATGACGACGCCGCTCGAGGCCGATGACGTGGTTCATGCACGCGTCGCTTGTGTTAACGGGGCTGGTTTGATGGAGAAGGTTACATCGCCGTCCATTTTTGTTGCATCATCGGACATGGCATTGGTGACAGCAGCAGAACCATATGTGCTTGAGCCCGCAACGGGCACCAAGATGTCCTCAGGCATCTGGGCGGTGCAGGGCTACGAAGTCTTAGTGCTACACCTGAAAGGGCCAAGTGAGCGCCTGCTGGCTGCCATGGACCGCGATAAGGAGTCAGGCGTTGGACTTGAGACGCTGGTCGAACGTGTTGACGGTCAGCTTGCCAACTGCCAGGCCGGCCCCTTGACAGCGTGCCCCTTCTCGGATGGTCGCACCCGCCTGCCCGGGTGCCCGCCCGGTAGTGTTGCTCGTGATGCCTCAACCTGCTGGTACCAACATGGCCGTGCTACCAGCTTCCGGATCAACATTGATGATACGGTCAACTCGAGCCAGCTCCTACCCGGGGTGGTATATCACGTAAGTCAAATTCAGGAAGGTTTCTTCTTTTGTTTGAAGGATGAGAACCACTCGTCCTCATGAGCTTTTTGCATCGTGTAATGATAGGTCACAACGCGGGTCCGCGTGGAAAATCAGGTTCAAGAGCTGGCCATTGCCGAGGTCGTTCTTGACCGCACGCCACCCGTCATTGCGGCCGGTAAGTCAATTGCAAAGCTGATCTGATATTGTTTTTTGTGTTTGTTGTTCACACCAATCGATAAACTCCTTCCGGTCTTCGTGCTGCGTAGTCCCCCAACTTGTGGGCGCAAAGAACCCAGAGGTATCAGTCAATCTGCAAGGCGTTTGCCAAGAAGACGTACTGTCCAATGAGCTGCGACACTTTGTCATCTTTGGTGATGGCGCGCGTGCTGGATCTCTGGACTTGACGGACTGGGCTTTGGTGGAATCGGCGGACCTTTCTAGCTCGACCCACGTCATTAATGTAGAATCTCTTGCGCAGCTTCAAATAGCCGTGCGCTGTGTCAATGCTGCAGGCATGACGTCGCTGACTAGTGAAGTGTTTGAAATCACGTGGGAGGCTTAATCCACGGTGGCTTCGATTGCTCATTTTTCTTGTGACGCCTTAATTCGATAATCTGCTTTTTGTATCTGTGCAAATTATTTTAATCTCTATGTCGCTGTCACCATGTGTCTTCATATCAATGATTATCAATGTCATAAATCGACTATCAAATGCGCAGCTCAAGCACAAGTCGGCGTCCAGCGAAGCACAGAGAGGCCGTCAATTCGTGTCCACAGAGTGGCACAGGCTGACAGAGCTGGCAGGCGCAAAGTTTGATATGAAAAAAAAGTGAAACCTCAGAGAGATAGACCTGCAGGCAACAAGTGGTCCTAAAGCACGTGGCCATCCAATCGCCTTGGGTTGGGAACGCCAGTAGGGTCAAAAACTGGTGGGTGGGTCATGGCAGTCCAGCCGAGACAGCGCTGTTTGAGCACATTGGCCAGACCCCGAGTCTGCGGCAAGAGTTTATCCAAACGGAAGTGGCGAGCTGACCTTTCGAGAGAACAGGGTGCGGGCATGGCTCCTATATGTGTGCAGGTTCAACGAGCTAGCCCTCACCTACACGCACATTGCCGGAGGTACGATTGGAATCAAGCCGTCTCTTTTTTTTTTTTTTTTTTTTTTCTTTCTTTTTTTTTTTTCGCGCCACTCATGCCTGTTTGCATTTGACTAGGTCTGCCGCCACGAGCCTCTGTGTATCAAGGGCTGTCCTATAAAAATGGCGTGGGACGGCAACGAGCCGCGTTTTTTGCCGAGAAGCAGCTCTCCATATTGACCCGCGTGAGCAAGACCTACTGGCTGTCCCTGAACGAACAGCACACCTTTCGATACATGGACCAGGAAATCAGCACGCTGATATTCATGTATTTGCTGCTGTGCAAGCCTCTGGAGCACATGCTGAGCAGCTGGCTGCAAAAGCGGGGCGGGCTGGACACCCCCGACGACGAGAACGGCATTCACAATGCCGAGCAGGACGACGAAGATTTGCTCGACGACGAGCTGGATGAAGACCACATGAGCCACGACGAGACGATGACATTGCGACGCGAGGTCCGGGACGCTCGAAACCACTACAACAACAGCCACCTGCTCTTCAACATTGCGCCCCTGCAGACGATGGTCAGCCCAGCTACCATCTATGCGGCATTTCGTCGACAAATGACCACGTACCTGCATCGGCCAAAGCTGGGGGTGGCCACGTGGCGACACGCCGCAACCTTCTGGATGACGACATTTGTCATTAACCGACTGTCGGCCGAGACGACCGGCGCCCTGGGCAGCCTGATCCACACTCAAGCTCAACACTCTGGGGAGACGGCCCAGCGGGCCTATGCGCGCACAGCCAGTGACCATGTGCAAACCAAAATGTCGTCGCGACTGATGCATCAAGTGGCCTCGCAAAAATGGCATGCTTTGTTTGGACTAGATCGCAAGCGCAGCATAGACTGACCTCTCGCCCGAGGCAAACGGGCGTATCATCATGAACACGAGGGCCGAGCATGACGTACCCTACATGACCCAGCTGGCCAAGCAGGCGAGCATCTCGTGGGGCCACAGTTTCAACAGCCAAGAACAGTTGGACCTAACGCTATTCAGGAATGTAGAGTTGTGGTGTGAGAGTGAGCTCAAAGAAAAGACCCTAACGTTGTATTGTCATCATGCATGGGCGGTATGATGACGATGGCTGTGAGGTATTGAACCGTGTACACTGTTAATTGACAAGCAACATTACACTCACTCACAACGTCCAGAACATGACCGTTACACCTTCCACATTTAAAAGAAAACCAAAGTGTAACAAAAATTTCACCCTCTGAGACAGCACCAAGATTCATTTTTGAACCTGAGCTATCTGCTCTTGCCGCGCCTTGCCCTCTTGCAGTCCTCGCCACCCTCTGCTCCTTACACCAACGCAGCATGGCACAGAACCAAGAAGTGTTGTGCTGTCATTGCGAGCGTGCATTTCACGTCGCCAAAAAAAGCACACACAGACAGAAAAACACACAAAAAAAACGCGACACGTCTCACTGTTCGGCACATAGGTCCATCAAAAAAGCACGCGAATCACATTAAACGGACAAGTGATTATCCAACACCGAAACGAGGACGGGTACTTTCATTGCCCTGTCGACGGATGCCTCTACCACCATCAACGCGCAAACACCCTCAAGTCTCATCTCCGGCACAACCATGAGAACATGCCGACTTCAGTACCGGCTGCGCCTGCCGCCTGCCCTCCTAATCGTCAAAAACCTGCTCGGACGCGCACGAAAAAACGTGTGGTCAAGCTTGATCAACAGCACGGCATTGCCGCGGCGCGAATTTTCATGGACGAGATTGCGTGCCTTGTATCCCCCGTCTTTGAGTCTCCAGTGTGCACGCAGTGCGGCCATGTCCTGAGAGGCAGGGTGACGCATCATCTGTTCAAAAAGCACCATGTGCGCTGCAGCCAAGAAGATATTGATGCAGCCATGGCACTCCTGCGCCCGCTGCAGCCCGAGGAGCCGCTGATCGACCTTGGGGCAGAATCTGAGCCTCGGATGCCTATTGAAGGCATCCCCATTCTGGACGGTGTGGGTTGCCCCCTGTGTCAGGCATGCTTCACGACAAAAGGCAGTCTGTGGAATCACATCGTAGCTGAGCATCCCGACGATCCAGAGGCCAAGCAGCCGCCTCGACGAGTCAAGCTGCAAAAGCCGCTGCGTGGTGCTGGGGCCCGCTGTGTCGAGGTCATTGTGGAGGAAAGCCACGACGCCTCGGCAGCCGATGTGAGCGAAAATGAGGAGGAGCTGGAGGAGCAGCAGCGGTTCAAGCAGTTTATCTCAAGCACCCAGGCCATGGCCTCGGAGGCTGAGGATAAGCGATGCCCGCACGGCGTTCACCAGATGCATCCGTTCTACGACAGCGTGGGCATGACGCTGGTCATAGTCGGGCATGCATGAGCTGTTCTGGACGGCCTACGAGCAGCTCTCGGATCAGGGCCTGGCCGCCGCTGCGGTGACGCGTCTGTTTGACGACAATGAAGGGCAGTATCAACATCGCCCCATGCGGCAAGTACAGCCGCAAACCGTCAGCAGGTACCTGAGTCTTGGAACACGCCTGGTCCAATTTTTGCTGCTGCTGGAGGCCATGCCAGCTATTGAAAGACGATTTGAGCTGAGACAGTAAAGCGGTTCAATTGCACTTCTCTCACAGGAGAGAACGATAGAAAACAGGAAGGGAAATATCCAAAAGAAAATGCCACTCACGGTCAGCGGGACCGTACTTATAATCCGGTGGCTAAACACACCCAGAGTGTACGAGAGGGTTCCTCGACGGGCGGCGGCAGCTGCACATCGTCGAGTACACTTATGCAATCCTTCCAGAGGGATCTGGCAGGTGGTCGATGCTTGCACTCCAATACTCCCCCTCAAGCAGAGAAGCATAACTTACGCATATGGCGTTCATGAGCATCGCGGGGTAACGGCTTGGTCAGAACGTCAGCCGTCATGTCGTCGGTCGGACAATAAACAATATCAACCTGGTTACGCTCGTACATCTCGCGCAGAGCATAAAACTTGATCAGCGTGTGGTGTTGTCCGCGCTGGGCATTGCCATTGATCACGTTGGCAATAGCAGGCTGGTTGTCACAGTAGACAAGTGGCTTGAGTTCAGGCAAAATGAGCAACTCGTTGATCAGTTCACGCAGCACAACACCCTTGGCAGCACCACTGTGTGCAGCCATGTACTCAGCCTCTGCAGTCGAAGTCGCAGTCGTGGTCTGGCGCTTCGAACGCCAGTAAATGGGGCCATTGCACAGAAAAATGGCACAACCTTCACGAGACTTCTTGTCATGCTCTTGAGCAAAGCTTGCATCGGTGTAGACTGCAAGTTGCAGCTCCTGTGTATCCTCAAAGCGGATACCCAAATCCTTGGTACCTTTGAGGTAGCGCAGCAGGCGCTTGGCTGCCTGCCAATGAGTCTCATCAAAACACTGGTTGTGAGCACTCAGAAGACTCACAGTTGCAGCAATGTCAGGGCGTGTGTGAGTTGCAAGATAATTCAGCTTGCCCATCAGTTGGCGATAAGGAAAGTCGCCCTCAGTCTTGGTCACACGCTCCAGCTTCACACCGGTTGTCCATGGTGTGGTCATTGGCTTGCACGAGTCCATGTTGAACTCCTTCAGGATGCTCTCGATGAAGGCCGTCTGCTTGATCATGATCGAGTCCTGGTAAATGGTAAACTCCATGTTGAGAAAGTTCTTGATCTGGCCAAAGTCCTTGGTCTCGAATTTGCCCTTGAGCTTGCGCTTGAAATTGTTGATGATGCGCTCTGTGCTGCCGACAAGCAAAATGTCATCAACATAGGCCAAAGCCCATACAATGTCCGTGTCCTCCTTGTAGACGTAGACGCACTCATCCTGTCGCAGTCGACGACATTGCATGATGTCACGCAAATACTTATCAAGTTCGAGATACCAGGCACGGGATGCCTGCTTCAGGCCATACACTGCCTTGTTCAGCTTGGCATACTCACAGCCACCGAGTCCAGCCTCCAGACCACGAGGGACTCGGATGTAGATGTCCTCATCAAGTGGCGCGTGCAAGAACGCCGTCTTGACATCCACCTGATGCACATGGTAATGCTGGTAAGTAGCAAGCGCCATCAA